GATGTTTGAAGTGTTAGTAGGTAACAATTTGCAATATTTTAATATTACTCTAATAACAACAATAATTAAATAATAGTAATAGTAGTAATAATAATTATTGATAATAATTAATTATTATATTAATATATAATTATAATATTAAATATTATAATTATCTCTAACATTCATCTCTAACTAATCACCACAGTAACGCTTTAATATACGAGAAAGTAAGTTTTGTAATTCCATCAAAATATTTTGAATACTTTGAATACTGAAAATTTACTGACTTCGTTATCACGGTTAATTTCGGTGGCAGTTTGAAGGTCTAATCAAGAAGTTGGTCGAACAGGTCTGATTGATTGGGTTCCGCCGACTGAAATGGAGTTGAGATTCAATTCGCTCCCCGCCAGGGCTAAGCCCCAAGTGCGTGCTGCGGCCAGTGCCGCCCCCACCTCCCGCCCCGCTAGGCGCCATATTCTGCACCGCAGTCCAACTTTGAAAGGACTCGACGATTGACGTCCACGCACATAGCGCCTATTTTCGGCTGCCCCACATTTCATCACAGAGACGGATAGACAGCTGTTCACAATACAATATGTTGGCGACATGCTAATTTTCCCCATTCGATTTTTCATTCCCTGTTTGTTCTGTTTTCAAAAGAAAGCCCGTTCAATGGAAGTGACAGGAAAAAAATGTTCTCATTTTTTTTCTTTGTGCTGAAATTCCAAATTTTTTTTCTAAATATATTTTTTCTAATCTTGAAATTCTAAAAAATTTCGTTACAGGAATTTTCATTATATAAAAATATTTAATATACTTATCTAGTTTAATAATGCACCCTCGCGGTTTAGCTCATTGGTCAGTGTGCTTCACTTCCCAATTCGCAATGTAAAAATAATTATTTTAGTTTTTTTATTACGTCTTGCAGATATAGCTAAAAAGTGTTTTCCAAATACATTTCACACCACTTATTTGCCTCTAATTATTTCAAAAATTGTATTATTTTGTCTCTAAAACTGTTTCCAATTAATAAATTAAAAGTTACTTTTCAGCCAATTAACAGATTAATTGAAACTGGGTATCCTGTCTATTGTAATTGATCAATTTGCAATTAATTGAAAGGGTTTTCCGATCCCTGCGCACAGCAACTTTGAAACTCGTAGATGCGATGCGCTGCCGAGTTCCCGTGCGGACCGACTGTTCGGTCCAAGCTCCCGGCGAGGTCGACTGTTGTGCAGTTAACCGAGAGCCGAAATGCAGCCGGCCGAGATGTCCGGTCAGGCGGCTCCACACATGCGGCATTCGCCGAATCTCGAGTGGTGTGGACGGGTTGCTTACGATTCGCCGGACGCCGAACAATCGGTGCTTGCCCTACCCAGTGCGTGTCGCTCTTTAGGACACATCAAACGGAGCGAACATTCGCCGAACACTTCTTCTGTTCGGGATTGGCAGTAGCTCGCTGCTCGGCGAATGCCGAATGTGTGGAGCCGCCTTTAAACAGCCATCTCTTTGCGCACGAGAAAAGACACCCTTCCGCGGAGCCTCGCAAGACTCGAGCGGTTTTCTTTACCCCTGCGTCACCCTCTGACTTACCCATAGGCATATAGCACCTAAGCACGGCTTGCACTCAAGAATGCCAAAACTTGCTGATATGTTTTGTTTATGATGTCTACATCTTTTGAAGAAATAACATTCGTAAATTATTGCAAAATAAGCAAATTTCAGTTGACCTGAAATTAATTGATTAATTAGTGATTTCGGTCACGTTAACTTATAAGGTCGTTAGTCCCGTAAGTATACAGCATGTTTCCCCATGAGGGTGGTCTTCACCCGATGGACGGTGAGGTCCGGCACGGACCAACCGTCAGATAGCGGAATTGACCTCGACCACCCATCTCCCACCAGCGGGCCACCGCCCCAGCCGCGGAAAGCTCCAAGTTCCCGACCGGTCTCCAGACATGTGTGGTAGAGTTGCCGTGGAATAAGGGCACAGGGCGTTAATGGGTTAAATTTGTAGCTGCCTTGGCTGGCACCGTGATCGCTCCACGGGGTCGTCGGCAGAACGGCGGCCTCCCGCGGCCTGTGAAAGGTGCAATGTTCGCCGAATGCAGACTTCTAGTCAACGCTCACAACACATCTGAGCCGAGAGTGCTTGTAAACTAGGCGGCTGGCCAAGGATAAAGTTTTACCTTTGTTCTTTCGCCATTGTTCGGTCCATTCATGTTATAGTTAATGATAAAGACGGAATTCTCCGCAACGCCCGTCCGTAGAAGTTTCGCGTTCGTTGCCCTCCGCCGAGGGGCAGAGGGGCGGGGAGCGAGGGCGTCGGCCGCGCGCGTGCCGGAAGGTCGTGCGTGTCAAAGGGCGCGCGCGCGACGCGCCCGCGGAGACGGTGCCGCCGCCACCATCAATCTTGGCCCACAAAGCACCGGCGGCGGCGGCGTCATCATTGCGCCTTTCACTGGCCGTGGAGCGATCACGAAGCCAGCCAAGGCAGCTACGAATTAAACCCATTAACGCCCAGCGTCCTCATTCTACCACATATGTCGGGAAACCGGTCGGGAACTTGGAGCTTTCCGCGGCTGGGGCGGTGGCCCACTGGTGGGAGATAGCTGGTCGAGGACAGTCCCGCTATCTCACGGTTGGTCCGAGCCGGATCTCTCCGTCCAACGGAAGATAGCTCTCCTTACATGGAAAACATGCACTATACTTACGGGAATAATGACCTTATTAGTTAACGTGACCGATATTACTGGTCAATCAATTAATTTCAGGTCAACACAAATATGCTTATTTTGCAGTAATTTACGAATGTTATTTCTTCAAAAGACGTAGACATCCTAAGCGAAACATATAAGTAACGTTTGGAGTTCCTGAGTGTGAGCCGTACTTAGCTGCTATATGCCGGTGGTTAAGTCACAGGGTGATGCAGGTGTAAAGCAATCGGCGGTTGATCCGCACTGAAGCTGACGAGTCGTCATGAATCTAAGTTCTAACGGTTTTGCTACATTTTTATAAAAAACAAAAATGATTGTATTGTGTTGGCGCTTTGAAGTGCTCTACGGGCATAGTTTAGCAACACAACAATGTATTAGCACTAGACGTTGCAATTCATGCTACCAGAGAGCTCCAACAATATGCGCGCACGAACGCGACGAAAATGGGCGATCTCTAGGCGCACAAAATTGGTGAAAGTTAATTGGTTAAAACGGAATATGTCATACACATCAGATGGGAACATTAGCAAATGATATAATGAAAGCATTGTACTACTTATCTTTCATATAAGATTGAATGGATGAGTATATTGATTCCGGATGCGTCAGCTACTTAGATCATTTGTCACGTAAGTGTAGTGTTTGTTATATACCACGTGGCTGGTAACATGAAGTCCAGAACCGACCTACACCTCAGTTTTCTTTTCCACCCTCCAGGTAACAGCTCCCACAACAGGCGCATATAATAAGGTAACGACAGAAATTCCAGACATGTGTCGTGGCTAGCATGTAAATGTGAACGTGTGTGTGAGTTTGTAAGGAAAGAGAAGGACAAAGATGAGAAAGAAAAGGTAGCACGCGGTCCGAGCATTCTAGTATTGATATTTGAAATCACGAAAACTGCCAATCAGAGAATTCTCCCACTATAATTCTCCTCTTAACAGTCCCACCTTTTTACCCAAAAAATCTGTGTTCTGACGGGACTCAAATCGTGGATCTTCCGGTCAATAATGAAGATGCAACATTTTCCTGATGAGTTATCTCGGCCGACGGCTCATATAAACTCTCTTACATATTTGCAAGAAGACTATTAGCGCGCCTTACGTTGGTTTCGTGGTGTAGAGGAAAGACGGTTTATGTTACACGTATGCCGCACGCAAAGATGGTGCTTTGGCGACACGTATGTTGCCATCGCGTGCAGCGTAACCAGAGTAACCAAAGTGATCTTGCTAACCAAACATGTGAACGCGAATGCTATACCATATTTCAACGTAAAACTCCGTTAGCTTTGACATACGAGCTTCAGCATGTAAGGTTCGCTATTAATGCTTAAATATAAAATGTACATTTATTATGCGAATATTTTTTAATTGTCAATAACTTTGTTAATATTTTAATGAAGTAGTTATCAACTCATCACGAAAATATATTTTCATATAATATAAATTCTATTATATTATTCTACAATAATTCGACAGATGCAACTTCAAGATGACAAATATTTTTTATACAGAAGAAAAGGACCGATCGTGAATCTGTACGAACACCTTTGCTGTGCTAACCACTTCCAATAAGTCAGTTCGAGAAACTTCAAGTGGAGTTCCAAACAAATTCGTTTCCTTTGCAATGGCCGAGGAAAATCAGTAAAACTTGTTCTTATGGAGAGAGCGTGTGGTCCCAGTGGGTTGCACGTGCGTGACAGTTGAACTTCAGAGGAATTTTTCATCCAACTTTTCATTCATCTCCGTCGGGGCTTCGCCTACAAACACGCTCGCTCTGTGGAGGGTGCTTTAAAGAGGGGTAGATCAATCTGGGAGTTTGACGTTGCTGAAGTGCCGGGCATGCGTCAGGCGAGGGGCATCTCCTCTCCGTCGGAATTAAAAGGGTCGAGGGCGCACGGACGCGCACGCACGTGACCACGTGACTGAGTGAGCTGGGACACGCGGGGGAGTATGCGCGCCCTCAGGGTATGTTGGGCGATCTGATTCCAGAGTGCAAGCCACGTTTCGTGCACGGCTGCTGACAGTGCCATGATAACGTACGGGCCCGAAGGACCTGGCCCAAGGCTCTCAATGTTCAAGGGTCTCGATAGTTCTTAAAAATCATTTAATACTAAATTGTATACGAAATAAAATAAAAAAGCCTTATAAAAAGGCGATCTATAATTAAACTATACGCAACATATTGGCATAATGGATTTGTTCTTACAAATTCACAAATGTTGGAATATTGTTAAATTGAAACACTAAGAGATACTTTCAAAATACAATGTAAATTGATAGGATTTTCTCTACATTTCAGCATCAAATTGGGGGAGAATATAGCGCCCCCATAGTAAGCTAGGTCCAAGGGCCCCCACAGCTGTTAAAACGACTCTGGCTGCTGATAAGGAAGAGATCTCGAGATTCCTCAGGAGAAGCAGTGAGTGAGTATTTACTCCCCCCGGCGCGTCAACTACTCGTACTTGGATAATTAGTCCCGTAAGTGCTGTGTATGTATTATCTCGGAGATGGTCATATAGATTCTTCGCTGGAAAGTGAGATCCGGTGCAGATCAACATCGGCTTCCGGGTATCTCCCCTGGCGAGGCACAGGTTCAGCCGATCAAGCTCTCAGCTCCTTCCTGGCCCTCTGCCAATATTCTTTGAGGAGCCGGATCCGTTTAATGTTCCTTTTTTAGGTAGCTGTGCAGGGGGCGTGAGGAGGGAGTCCACATGTGTGGTAATGTAGTGCATGTAAGTGTGTGAGTGAGTGTGTTGGGTGTGTGGGAAGAAAAGAACAAAGATAAAGAAAGAAACATCGCACGCTCCCCATGTTCCGTTTCTAGAATAGTGCTCTCGCATTCGCCTGGTATTGTTCGGAGAAACTCTGGGAAACTACCGATTAGCGCCGTCGGCCATTAGAATTTTCCTCCAGACAGTGACAGAATTTGTCCGAGCCATGTAGTTTGTGTCGAAATTCCGTCGTAACTTGAACCTTGGAACCTCTCGATCAACAATGTTTTAGAAGCGGCAGATCCAGTGCGAAAAAATTATTCGAATACACTGCCAACATAAATTAATGTATCGCTTTTTATGTGAGGTCGAGTACACAAGTTCCCCTAATTTGCTCAGAATACTATGGTGGTAATTTCTTTACTCTAGGTTGCAGGTTCGATTGCCGCATGAACATAGGTTTACTCGTGTGATTCTGGCATGGTGGAGAAAAGCTAATCCTCTAATTTATCTTATATCTATATTATTAATAATTTCGTAATTACTCAAAGAAGTTAAGAATTGGTAACCTGCAATTATTCGTAAACATTCCCTGAGAAAAAGGAGAAATTCTGCGTGAAAATGATATGATACTTATTTCAAAATCATCCTAATGGAGAAGATGGTCTAGTAACTGTGCGTACTTTTAAGTTATATGCAATAGACTAAGTATCCTAACATTTTATTACATCATGAGATTGGAGAATTATCAAACGAGACCGTTAGATATTTGTATTAAAAATATATTTACCTTCTATGCCTTCCTTACAAAGTATTTCGAAATGTGACTTCCCTGAAGTGTACCCATAAAGGAGTCTACCCCAAAAATGTGATTTCTAGAATTTATTAGCATTAAATTTGTATTAAGCCAACAATACAAATGTAGGTTGTGAATTGTATGAATTGTAAAACCCGACAATGTTTATAATAAGAAGAAAAAAAGGTAGAGTGATAATCAATCGAGTATTTTAATGTGTTACGATACAAGTATCAAATGAATTTTGCGTAATTTACATTTAAATTTGACTATTTGAACTGCAGAGGTGACGTCATGATGTACATAGAAGATCATACAATGACAGGTATTAGTTCTATTACTTACATTACAAAACTGAGTATTGTTTTAATAGTGGTCTATGAATTATTTCCATATTTGTATTATAATAATTCTTAAGACAACACTGATCTCAGTTTCATTAAGATCTACTTTATAGAACCAAGTGGATAAAAATATGTAATATAAAAATAAATAATTACTGAGGACTACTATATAGATTGTAAAATATTGTAATAAAGAAACGCTAAGAAAATTCTGTTGATTCAGGTTGAGTCTGGAGAGAATTCTCATATTGACCATCGTTTCTATCGTATTGATATTTTATTTCATCCGTTTATTCAGACAGATCTTTCAAGACTAAAAATAAACTACAAAATAAACCATCACCATTCTGGAAGGAGGCGCTCAATTCCATTAGTTTTCAGTACCAATTCCAGAAAAACTGGAGTGTATGATAATATGCATATTTTTTAACAAAAATAAATTATAATAACATAATACCTACAGTAGGTGACTTTTATTGCAGAAGAATGAAATATTTAAACATTTAGTCCCGCATCTATTTAGTGTTACCACATAATTTCATTTGACATCAATGAGGTCGTTTTTCGTTTCACAAATGTCTATTCAACACCAAGGATTTCATAATTTATCTCATCTCCTATGATTGTTGATTTGTTTCTGATTCAAAGTTTTACAATTCCTTTACATTCCAATTTAGTTATTCATGCTCACGAATACTATCATTTTCTTCAATTACTCTAATTATCTCAACAATCTCTGATATTGTAACTGTAATTTCATGAGATTGTCAGTTGCATCCTTTTCGGTTCCCACCGTCTTATTTGGAACGTGCACCTTGGATTTGCCACGCAACTACTACATCGGACTAAGAGCACGTTGACAACACGAAGATCGTAAAAGTTAGCACACTCGCGTGTCACATGCAAAACTATCTGCGTATCTCCAAGGAATGAAGACATCAGTCCCCGACAAACACATCCCATATCTTAAGTTCCCATTCATCTTCCCAGTGATGTGTCATAAAAGTTTACATTACCATTATAATCTAACAGACTAGATAATAAACTGACAAAATTGTACAATTATAATCAACATACAAAATTGTATATCAATGACAACTATTGTGCAATTTTGTCTGCTTATTATTGCTCTTTTATTATTGTTGGTTAGTATTATTGCCTCCGAAATTTTGTAGCAATAATACTAACTGTTAATGATGATGTCTTGAAATGAAATTCAAAACTGCCTTTTGCTTAATATATTGATCTTTATTGCTAGATGTTCTTACATTGAAACGCACTTCACGACTAAGCTCAATCTGAACTCGGAACAGAAGACACTCGCCAAAGATGGCGCTGTTGGATCAGTTTTCCAGTATTACCAACATAAATATCAAAATGCTCTATGATTACTAACACTAACCAACCACACGTGTACTCTCCAAAGCCTTATCGATAGTCGTGTTTTTGAGCCAAGGTGTCGTAAACAAATAAGCGTTTTAAAAATTGTACCTAATAATTAAACATTAACAAATATAATGAAAAAGGATTAAACAAATCCTTATTCATTAGCGAAAATTCTTTCGGGCTAACGCTTTCACTCTAACCTTTTCCCTCGTGTTGGTCCCTTGTTATACACACTATTAATCAACGTATTAAATAGTATATAGGAATATGATTTTTATTGCGTGAAAGTGAACTTACTAATTAATTAGATGGTTTCACCTATTACTGATCAGCTCCTGTTCAAGAGGCAAAACCACTCCTGTGTTAGAATAATACATTTATTAAAGGAAGCTAAAGCAAATTAAGATATGATGAATTTGATAATTTATACTTCATGAACTTCAAATACTTTGTAAACATTATCATTAAGGCAATGCTACGAAATGATACTACGTTTAACAAATAAAATGTAGTTACTTAATATCGTGCTTAAATTATATAACTATTATTTAAAAGTGAGAATATATGTATGTTTCCATACGCCACAAGAACTTCAGAACCAATTGAGTGATTGGTATCAAAATTGGCATGAATATTTTCGAATGACCAAGAATCAAGAAAGGCGTCTAGTTGCGATTTAAATTGTTACTCCAAAATGAGTTTTTTACTATATTTAGTTAAACGTTTCTCCCGACACGTCTGAGCGGTATTGTTGCCGGGAATCGCGGGGGTCCGAGGGGGTGGGCAGAGTGGCTAGATGCAGGCAGAGTGGAAGGCGAGCAAGGAGCGAACGGAGCGCAATGAGTTAGAAGAGATGGATTGATTAATTGATTGATTAGTGTTTCCGGGTGTGTCAGTTGCTTAAGATCATTATCCGGCCAGGGTTGTGCTTGTTTGTATCGCTGGATTTGGCGGCGATCTTCCCACTGGATGCTGACATCTGGAACCAACCTACAAACCGGCTTGTAGGGTTTTCACGTAACCACGTATCTCGCACCAGCGCCGCACCGTCCTAGCTGCAAGCTCTAATCCCCAGATTAGTCACCTGATGTTGGTGTTGATCGGGCAAACCGCGAAAAACTACCTGTCAGAGAAGCCTGCCGCTAGAATACTCCTCCAGACAGCACTTGAATTCGATCTCGCTATCTAGCTCTGTGTCGATAAATCATCTCAAACATTGGGACTCAAACCCTAGGACCTATCAGTGACATTTATGTCCTGAGAAACCTTAACCGGTTAGAGCAAGAGGTGCGGGAAGATTTAAAGGACGAAGGGACGGAGCGATATAGCGCGCCACGAGAAAGGCATGGGCGTAGTGGAAAGAGCGGAAGAAACAGATGGAGTGTGATGAATGGAGATGATTGATTAATTGATTGTTAGAGATGCCGGACGGGTCAAATATTAAGGTAATTAATCCCGTAAAAATAGTGCACGTTGTTTCCTTGGGAGGTGGCGACGGTCCTCCCCGCTGTATGGCGAGACCTGGCGCCGACCTCCCGGCGGCTAGTGGGGTTTCCCCCCACCAGATATCTCCCACCAGCAGAGCACCGTCCCAGACGGGATAAGCTCTAAGCTCCCAACTGGTCTCCTGACTTGTGTGGTAGTGAAGTGCTCGTTAATGAAACTGTGTAAGGGGTGAGGATAGGGTAAGAATGAGGAAGAAAAGATCGCGCACAATACGAGGCCTTTTGGTTGGGTATTGCTCCGGCATTTGCGTGGTGTTGATCGGAGAAACAACGGAAAACTACCGATCAGTGTAGCCGGCCGCTAGAATTCTCCTCCAGACTGCGACTGAACTCGACCTAGCTATCTAGCCAGAGTCAAAAATCCTGACGGGACTCGAAACTAGGGCCTCCCGGTATTAGGCACTATAGGGATATCAGTTGATACCCTGGGCGCCCTCACCTGGGGATGAATGAGGGGAATATAATAGTATTGTGCGGAAGGGACTGGATGAATGGGGTGTGGATGGGTGGGGTGTAGATGTGCGCTTTGAATCGCAACTCTGCAATTTGTACTTTCACACTTTACTTCGTAAGAATAAAAAGTACTGTAATCGTTCATCGGAAAACAATGAGTTTTCAACCGAAAAATCTTACTACTGGGGTCCTGGA